AGGTCCTGCTCTGTATCACCTACTCACCAAACTTTGACATTAATGGAGACTCCATCCTCCGGATTGCTGAGGTAGGGCAGCCTGAGACTGACTCATCTTCATAATCAGATACATGAGCTTTTACTTGGCAGTAAATAAATGGATAAATAAATACATTCACAGACTTCATCGCTGTGCAGAAATTTACATTAAGTTTTAGGCTTTTTCTGTATTGCTGTCGCCTGGAATTATTCTGAAATGATTAGACAGACTTTTATGGGCCGGACTAAACTTGGACTGGACAGCCAAACGAGCTTCACAAAGGAAAATTCAAACATGTTAAAAATAATTTTCTGTTTAGCTTGTTCCTGCTTGTTGCCTCATGACGCAGACTTTTTTTCATAGTACCAGCTTTGAATAGGCTGTCTCAGACTGAACCGATGATAGAGGGCGTTGCATTTTTTTTTAAGGAAAGTGAACTGTTAGCACAGCGAGCTGAACATGGGTCTTTTTTTTAAAGGTGAAGCGTTTCTCTGTCCTCACTTGCCCTCGAGCCTCGTCTCATACTGTAATCTCATCAATTATTCAGAAAAGTGAGATGGTTTTCCTACAGACACACAAACAAAGAGGCAGGGCTGTGCAGATGAAAATATTTGCCAATAATAGTACCAAGGTGTGCAGCAGGTTCACTGGCTTAGCAATCTGTACAAAGCTTCTTACTCATGGTTTTAAGGCTGTATCATCATCATATTACTGGAACACGTCTGTGTAATCTTCATCAGTTTTGCTGTAATCAAGAACATCTGTTCCCAGTACAAGCCTCAGCTTGCTTTGATTTCTGCTGAACAGTGTAACTATAATGAGCATGAGAACGTATAGATAGAGAGATTGGATAAATGTCCAGCACTGTCTGCCTGATGACATACTGCACACGTCAGCCGGTGCCCCGGCCTTGAAGGTCAGCAGGTTCAGTTCTATATTAAACTATAGATTATGCCAGAGGTGATTATATATTCAAACTGTTTCCGTCTAGTTTATCTACAATCACAATAGAGACATTAATTAAGCCCTTCTGTTTTGCTGGGTTCACAGTGAATGGGGTTTAAGAGAACAGATAACATCTTACTTGTTTTTATTAGGAGGTTTGATCACAACTGGCTTAAAATCACAAATTCAAATATGACACATCAACCCCTTCAAGGTCGTCTCCTTGGGTGGCACTGCACCAGATGATAATGATAATAATGATATTAATAGTAATGATAGTTACAGTAACAGTAGTAATAGTAGTGCTCAGTGTTCTGGAACGTTATAGTGGAACTCTGCATTGACAGCCTGAGTCTGGGGGAAGAATGTAAGGAGAAAAAACAGGGATGTGCTGCAGACCTGCAGCTTGGTCTTTGAGATGTAGCTGGAGTCGCAGCTCCCGTGGGTAGTGATGATCCCTGAAATTAAACTTGGTTCAAGCTGACACTGAAGTTAATGTTTGCTCTGTGTGAAACTGGTGCAGTCTGCAAGGTTTGGGACTCCCAGGAAATGCTTTTAAAATAGCAGCTGTGCTGGAAGCAGTCCAGAAGTGCTCAAGGAGACAGTTTCATTCACAAAAGTTTAAACTGGGTTGTCCGCGTTGTACGGCCACCAGCAGTAAAAACACTGATGAATAAAATTTAGAAACGTTAGTTTTTTTGGCCCTGAGTCATTCTTAGACTCAGACTCCCCTTTTGGTCTTTATAGAACATAAAGAAGTAATCGTTGGTCGTTGTGTCCTTGAGCAAGACACTTTACCCTACCGCCTACTGGTGATGGCCAGAGGGGCTGATGGCGCGATGTGGCAGCCT